ATGGATTGTGATAAGAGTTGTATGAGTCCCCAATAAAATGATTTATTAAAAAAAAAGTCTGAGTTGATTCCGGGCACAGATGTAGACGAGTTGGGGAAATTCTGACAAAATTTCTAAGAAGTTTTATTAATATTTCGCCCCAGAAAAAGTTGAGCATATTTGAAACAGGGCTAACTGTCCAGGGAGATGAGAAGCGTGTCCTGACCTCCATGTGCAGACCAGGAATGCTGTTGTTGGGGTGTCAAGCTATTTCGGACCCAGAGTGACCCGAGTATTGCTGTTGGAGCCCATTGTTGCAACCACTGTGCCCATTTAGTTGTTGTTTTTTTTTGCTGCCCTTCCACTTTACAAACATGAGGTCTTCTTCCTAATGACATAGCTGTTTTCATTGTCTAACGTCTCATACAAGTTTATGAACGGATAGCTATAATAATGATGTATGTACTGGGGGCAACAGAGTTGGAGCTGCCAAGCCTTCCCATCCCAGACTGGAGAGATGGCTAGCTAATTCTCACTCGGTGTGGCCCCTGCAGTTATGAGGAAAAGACCTTAGGGGGCACAAAAGTTGCTGTTTCAAAGCAGGAAAAATCAGTAGATAAAAGAAGAATATTGAGAGACTGAATCTCTCTTGATTTTTCTTCTCAGCAATGGAGACAGCAGAAAGCTAACTCAGCCGAAGACCTGATTTGAACTTCCCGCCTCCAGAACTGTGAGAAAGCAGACTTCCACTCTTTCAAGTCACCCACCGCGGGGCATTTGGTTATGGCCACCGACCTACTGGCCCTCAGAGACTAAGGCACACATCCTGACCAGACTGCTAGGCGGGCCTGGAGTCCTGAAAGCCATACACACAGTGCCCATGAAAAAGCTGAGACACTTTGCCAAAGTCAAATAGCAAAATCCTCTCCTACAAAATTTCAACTGTCAGTGTGCTTCTGAAGCTAGTTCTGTTCGGACCCTTCATGGGCAAGCATGGAACCGTCGACCTATGGTCCCAGCAGAAGCAACGAGTCATCCTATCAGGCAAATAGCCTCACCAAAGTGGAAGCAGGAGTCCCTTCCCTAAAGTATTGGCATCCTTCTCTCCAAACCACTGAGTGACCAGATCAGACTGCCAAAGATCACCAAGGCTAAGGAGAACTCTCTACGTCGGAACCAACGCTATGGCAGTGGGTCTGAGCTTCTGGAGGGAGCAGGGAAACCTCTTCCACCAGGCCTCCCACTGAAGACTGCAGCTTTGAGAATCCTTACACCAAAAGGATCACGCCTACGCACGTGCCTTCTCCCACCATTCCCCCTCAGCAATTAGTTGAATGGGAGGATGAAACAAAAATCAGGCTCTTATCTAGATGTTTGTCCAGCAACCTGCAGTGTCTCACCTCCATGGATAGAGGGCCTGGGGGCGGGGGGTGGGGGGGTGTCACCCAGCAGACAGTAGCAATGTGAGCCAAAAGCAAGACCCTCTAACTAGGCTCCTTTTCTTACGCAATTCCTTAGCACTTACAAGGAGAGATGAGAGGAAATCACACCCAGCACAAGTGGAGAGGGAAGAAATCGTTCACTAAGAAATCAGTGACTAGAACGTGGCTTTGACTCGTCCCTTTCCTGGGTCTGGACTTAATGCTTTAAATCCCTTTGCATCAGACATTGGGCCTCCACTCAAGTACTCCCTCAATGCATGAATACTTTCTTCTATTAAATTGGCGTTCTATGATGCTCACCTTCCCAACACAACCGCTGAAGAGGA